GAAGAGAAGTCTGTCATAATTCTGATGGGTTTTCCTTTAAATGTGATCTGTTTCTTTTCTCTAGCGTCTTTCAGTATATTGTTCTTGTGCTGGATTTCTGGGATCTTGACTATTATATGTCCCAGTGTGTTTTTAATTGAAGTTATTTGGAGTTCTGTATGCTTTGGTTACTGAATGTCAGATTGTTTCCTCAATCTGGGAAGTTTTCTGCTATTACTTCTGCACGTATTCTTTTTATATCATTTGTATTGACTCCTTCTTTCTCATTCATGCCTATTAAACTCGCATTGTTCATCTTTGCATCATCTTCCAGGTGATGAGTTACTTTTTCCTGCATCCTAGTTGTTTTTAAGAGATCTTTTCTTAACTTTTCACTAGCTGCACCAGCATCTTCAAGATCTGAAACTCTGTCTTCACTTTCACTTAAACGTTTTTGCAAGCTTGTGATTGAGATTTTAATTTCCTCTATATCTCTTTGACTCTGCTTCATGTGATCTATTTCTTTCCTGTATTGCTCATTCAAGGAATCTGTTGTTTTTCTAATCTCCTGTATTTTTTAATCAGTGTCTTCTTTAGAAGCAGTTATTAATTCTTTTATTACAGAGATTTTTCTGATCTGATTTCCTCCATATGTTTCTGTATTTGATTCTTTACTTCAGATGTTGTTAAGTCAGAGATTTCTTTTTTTTATTTCAGAGGTTATTTCTGATCTAGGTTCCTCTATACTTTTCTGCAGTTGTTTATTGAGTTCAGATGCTATTGATTCAGACATTTCACTATGTGATTCCCAATTTCTTCTGTGCTGAGTCGTCTGCACTTGTTCTGGGTGGGCTTGGCATTGAGATTGCATTTTGCTCCTACTCTTTGTCATTTTGTATGGCACTGTCCTCTGACCTTTGGTGTAGAACTTTGGTGCAGTTACAACCTTAGCACCTACTGATATTTGGGTGCTGATCTACAAAGTTTGAATTCATCCAGTTGTGCCTGGCTTGTGTCTGGCTACTGTGCTCAGGTCCTTCCTGCTGCAGCCCTTGGAAGTGAACCTGTTGTGTCCCTCTGGCAAGATGTTCTGCTTCTAGATTAGCTGGGTGGTTCTTGCCCCTACACTGTCTGCATGGACTTCAGCTGCAGAGTTTCACTGCAGGCCTGTATGCCAGGCCTTGGCTGGGTCTGGAGGGTACCATCATGTGCAGGGGAGTGGGAAGGCTCTCCCACATACTTGCAATGCCTGGGCTTGGGCTGGGACTGGAGAGGTGGAGGGGTCCCAAGAGTGTGGTGGAAAGTCTCACTCACATGGGGGTCTTGGGGGCCTGGGCTGGATTCGGAGGGGTGGAGGGGTCCTGAGAGCACAGAGGAAGGTCTCACTTATGTGGTGGGACTGGGCTAGATCCAGAGAGGTCCAGGGGGTGGGCACAGGGAAGTGTGGAAGCTCTCCCACGCACATGCCAGGCCTGGACTTGGGCTGGCTGTGGAGGGATGGAGGGGTCCTGAAAGTGTGGTGGAAAGTCTCATTCATGCGGGAGCCTGGGCTGGTTCTGGAGGGGTGGAGGGGTCCTGAGAGCACGGCGTAAGGTCTCACTCACACGTGGGCCTTGGCTGGATCTGGAACAAAACATTTTCAAAATATAAAAAAGTGGAGAATATACCTCATTGCATTCCACAATAATGACAAAACAGAAAACCACAAACACATTTAAAAAATCAATTGAAAAGCTACTTCAGTCATTCAGTAAGGTGACTGAAGATAGATGTACTGTTACAGCTTTTCTGTTAGCGTTAAACAACTAGAAAATATATATTTTTTAAATCTTGGTTGTCACTGGGCATCATGGCACATACTTATAATCCCAGCACTTGGAAAGTTGAAGCAGCAGGATTGCTTCAAGTTCGAGGCAAGTCTGGGCAACACAGTGAGTTCAAGGCCAGCCTGAACTGCAAAATGAAACCCTGAATCAGAAAAATAAATATAAATAAAAAATAAATTTGCCTATAAAAAATAGCAACTCTGAGGTGGTTAGGAATAAATTTATTGGGGTTGGGGAGATAGCTTGGCAGTCTGAGCACTGGCATGACAAATGCAAGGACATGGGTTCAGTCCCCAGTATCAAGTGCCCATGCTGGCTACTGAAACCAGGCATGATGGTGCACACGTGTAATCTCAGCACTGAGGAGGCTGTGACAGGAGGATCACTATGAGTATGAGCTGCGTAGCAAGACCCTGCTGTACCAAATGAATAATATTCTTTAAAGAAATAAATTTATTAAGCAATAGATAAGCTCTACCTCCATGGGGGGTAGCAAAAGTCTGGGTCAAACTGCATGGGTGCAGATCCCAGCTACAATGGCTTAATGACTGTGATCTTAGAAAATCTCGCACTTTCTGTGAGTGTATTTGTAGGAGAAAAGACTGAAAAGATATATTCACATGTGAGTAGCATCCCTCTGACTAGTTAGGACTAGCCTAGTCATCTTAACGGTCTGTATATCAGCCAGCATGTTAGTTTTCTGTTTCTCCTATAACAAATTGCCAGCAACTTGGAGGCTTCCAACATCAGCATGCACATTATAGTTCTCCACGTAGGTAGGGACAGTGTGGCTGATCTGGGTGCTCTGCATAGCCTGTCAGAGGCTTAGATGAAAGTGCTGGGGAAATCTTCAAGCTCCTTTGAGTGTTGGCTGACCCAGTTCCTGCCATTGTTTCATTCCATTTCCACTTCTTTCCAGGTTGCATCTGCAAGCATGGGCAGGTCCTTCGCTTCCCTCCAAATGCTTCTCCTCTTCATCTCTCCTGCTTTTTTCCTTCCTTCTATCTCTCTGTACACCTCTGTGCTCCTCTGCTGATTTTGTCATGCAAAAGGTTACATCTGGCTTACCTGGATCGTCTCCCCTGTCTTAGTTACTTTCTTTTGCTGAGACAAAAATACCCAACACTCGAAGTTAAAGGAGGAAAGACTTGTTGTAGTACATGGTTTATGGAGGTTTCAGTCCATAATTGCCTGGCTCCAATGCAGACTGGCATGGCAGAAGAGAAACAGTTCATGGTGGTGGAAGATAACAAAAGCAACAAGGGAGGGAGACAAAACTGTGTATTCCTTACATTATATGCAGGCTACCCACCCTATCATGAGTGTAACCCTCACACCCATGATCCTAGCCAAAACTATGCCAAACCAATCAGGCACTGATTTATAAATAACCACATATCCTTGATGCCAGCATCACACATTCTAGTTTCAGCCACCTCTGAAGAGCCCACCATGACTGCATGAGGCTTTGGGGGGAAATCTAGACACAAGCCATAATGTTCCCATTTTCAGATCAGCTGATTGATAAACTGAATGATATCCCCTTCACATCAGTACTTAGTTAATATTTGGTAGTATAGCCAGAGCATGGGAATTTTAGGATGACATCTTTAGAATTCCACCTGTCACACTCAGATCATACCGAGTCACAGGATTAAGGACAAAATGTTCTAAGGACAGCCATGTCAAACTCCTGATATAGTAAAATTCCAGCTGGTAGTTTAGGTTCCTTTCACAGGTAAGACAGGGGAGCCCTCAAGTGGCCGTCAGAAGTTCCCAAATGTGTAGGTAATTTCCTCCTCTGTGAGCATGAGTTTTCCATGCCTTGAGAGTTTAGACAATACTTTGATGCTATTATCAGTCTTTGGTTTTGACAAGTACATGTAAGCATCTTTCAGGAGATCATTTTCTGTGAAGCACTGCAATAACTGTCCCTGAATCCTGAATTACCCCCATGGCATGATGGACAGAAGAGCTGGAGCTGAAGTACAGCAGCTTAGCACCTACTCCACTGAGAGGTGGAGTTGACAGTGGCCATGCCCATGGAAAGAGGAGCAGCCACAAATCACTGTGTATATGTCATGATAATAATGGTGAATCTCTTTTTTGTCACAAAGTCATTTTATGTTTTCTGCATTCTCTCTGGTCTCAGCACTACAGAAGAGAACATATCAGAACTAGTTCCCTAGGCTCAGCAAGATAGCTCAGCGGACTAAAGCACCTGCTTAGGCAGAGCACAGTGGCCAGGGTTCCATCCCTGGCATGCCATGCTGGCCATGCCCCACCCCAATTGATACTGGGTGTGGTGGTACATGCCTGTAATCCCAGCACTTGGGAGGCTGAAAACAGGAGGATCACTACGAGTCCCATCTACATAGTGAGACCCTGAACACCCTATAGACCCTGTACCAAATACATTTAAAAAAAAATACCTAGTTTCCTAGAGTAATAACAGGGACTTCAGAAGCAATTGACATTCCTCTGAACTCTAAATACCAAAGCCTAGGAAAGTGCTAACAGTGACCAGAATGGAGGAGAATAAATCCCTCCAATTCATCACACCCTCACTCAGTCCAGGCCCCTGTAATGCTGCTTACAGTTTCTGTCCCTCATGGCACTGGCCCACACTTCAATTCAACACTTGTGTTTTGCCCTGACATTACCCCTTTACACAATTGTGAACTGACAAATCTGTTGCTTTGAAGATTACCTATTTTTCTTCCAGAAGGAGTTTAATTGCCAGGCACAGCAACCCACTTAAAGAAAGACCTGCAGCAGTTATTTTTTTTTTTTGTTTTGTTTTCTGAAGACTTCCTGGTGGCCAGTCATCCATGCAAACTTTCTGGGCCTGGGCCTCCACATCCCCAACTTCACTGGCTCCTTCCACCTACTGCCTCCAAAACCCTGACTGTCTCAGAATTCTCTCCTTTGCAATGCAGAGCCAACCCACTCTTTCTGGCTGCTCTTCCCTGTGTCAAGAGACCAGATATTCCATAGATCTAAACCCTTTGTGTTAGCAAGAGCCACATTCAGATATCATAGAGGAGCTATAAAACTAGAAACTGCCATTTGTCCTGTTGTGTGATTAGACCCACTTTCTGACTCATGGTCAAAACACTAACTGGTATTTGTCACATGGTTCTGTGGCCCTCTCCTTAAAGGCATACCTCTGTCATATTTGCTTTTGTTCCAAAGGTGTCCCTCAGCCCACTGTAACTTGGAGGAAGAGAGGAAGATCTCTGAGTGACAATGTCTCCTTGCTCTTCAATGGATCCCTATTGCTGCAGAATGCTTCTCTTGAAAATGAAGGCACCTACATCTGCACAGGCACCAACGCCCTTGGCAAGGCAGCGGCAGCATTCACACTGCATTTGCTTGGTAAGAGCTAAGCCCTGAGGGCTCCTCCCAGACTCCTGACAATAAATGAACAGCCAGGCCCATCCTGGCTGATGCTGGGGTGAGAGAGATGGGTATTAGATGTCTACTGCAGCCCACTTGACAATGAGTGCCAAACCCTCACACCCCAGGATACTAATCGCACTCTGGGATCTGAACTTCTGCTGAACTCCTGATGCCTGTTTTGAGCTAGATCTAGTTGGGATGGTTTTCCGCCCTATGATTGCACACATGTGCATACACATGCATACACACACACACACACACACACACACACACACACTACACTCACAGCATACTCTTACCTTCTCTGAGGGCTGCTCTCCCAAGAGAAATGTCCTCCACTCCTTTCTCACATTGTCCCAATTCCCCTCACCTTGTAGAATAACTGACACCCTGTTTCATCTTCTCATCTTTGACTTCTGTCACTGGCCTCACTACATAGTAACATGTTGTTCTTCAATTGTTCCCTCTTTTATTTCTGTTTCAACTAAATTGTAGGTTCCTCAAAGGTGAGGATCATACTTGATATTCTTCTTGGTGTCTTGGGGGAATAATACAGTGTGATGCACATCAGTCCACTGAGTCTGACCATTCCTAACAGGTGGTCAACACTGTGACTTGGAGACAGTCATTTCAGGGTGCCCGCAGGACAGGGTGTGAGGCTGAGCTCTCCTTTCTTCTGGGACAAGATCTGGGAATTGTCTCACAGTCATTGCGAGAGATTTAAATTGCTAGGATTTTAGGATTGGATAAATAGTGACCCTCTTTACCTCTACATCTTGGCCTCAGCTGAGAATTAAGCACAGAAGTCAGTCAGGTGGTGTTCTGGCTTATAGCTAGATGCCCTTCCCCCAATGCCTCGTGTACTCATAGATGGGTATGTGGTATTAAATTAGTCAAAGGTGTTGAGATTAAATTAGTCCACTGACTGGAATTATCATAATTCTGCATGAGGCTAAATGGATTTACTGAAGATAGAAGCCCCACCCTGGGTGTGAGTGGCCCCACCCAAAAGGAGACAGTTAAGAGAAGGTAGGCTTGCTGCTGGCTGCATGTTACCCTGCTGCCTTTTTCCTGCCACACCATAAGCTGTTTCTCCTCCGTGATGCCCCTCTGCCTGCCACCCTGCCTTGGAGCCAGCCTATTATGGGCTGAAACTTGTACAAACGGTGAACTGAAATTGACCTATCCTCTTAACTTATGATTGTTAGTATTTTGGCTCTACAATGAGAAAAGTAAGACTGGTGGGCAGCAGAGACCATGTGTTATCCCCCACCCCAATATTTCAGGCACCTAAGGCAGGTATATTAAATATGTCTTTCATGAATGAATGAAATTGAGTCAGTGGGAGAAATTATGTGATGTTAGAATTCATGTGAAAAACTTCCTTTGTGGCTTTGCATGGTGGCAGCTGCAGGGCCCTGGGCAGGAGTTGGAGTAGCTGTCAGGTGCAAAGTGCTTTGATGTGCACTAATTCTTTTAGGATGTAATTACATTGTAGAGGAGGATAGTGATTTTTTTTTCAGTCAGGGCCTTGCTAAGACACTAAGTCATCCAGGATGGGCTTGAATTTTCAATACTCCTGTTTCAGCCTTCCAGAGCGCTGGGATGTACACCAGCACATCAGCTATAATGTTTAAGCTTGTTGCATCTATGGGGAAATCGGAGGTTTGCAGAGAGATTAGACTAGGGCCCAAAGATGTGGTCACCTCTTTGAGGAGTCTTCACACTACCCCTCATGGGATTTCAGGAGCTATCAGACAGGGTCTGCATCCTTCCTTGTGGCTCTTCCAGAGAGCCTCTGTGATCTCCAAGCATCTGGAATAGAAGACTTGACAAACTGGCTGTGCCCAAGCTGTTGGTTCTTTTCCCCTCTCCTCTCCTTTTCCTCCTCTTCCTTCTTTTACAGTCCTGGAGATTGAATCCAGACCTTTACCGGGAGCTACATTCCTAGCCCTTATTTATTTATTTATTTATTTATTTTTATTTTAAGAAAGAGTCTGGCTAACTCACTGACCCCTGGAGCCATCTGCCTCAGCTTCCAGAGTGCTAAGCCTGCGGGTGGGGAGCTGCTGAGTTCCTGAATGACTTCTCTGAGTTCTCTGAGAAGCTTCAGTTTGAGCCATGCTCCTCCTATCCCCACATCGGCATCTGCATATCTTCTCAGTCCTGCTCATGGGGCTCCAGAGTAGCTCTGACCAATGTGCTTCCTCCAGGCCCTTTTAAAATTCCACTGAATTCATTTTGTCCACTCTGGAAGTTAGGCTGGGAACCCTGGATGCACACAGAGACACCACACGCTAGCTAGCGCTGCCATAGCTCCACTCCCGCCCACTCCCCACTGCTAGGTCCCTGCGAGGCGGAGCATCCAGGAATGCAGTGAGTGCCTCATCCAGCAGGGCATGCTCCATCACTCACCCAAGGAACTCCCAAGCTGAAGTGAAGATTGGCCCATTTCTAGTTGAAAAGAGTGTTTCTTTTTGTTTTTGCAGAACGAAGATGGCCAGGCAGTAAACGTGCATTTCCCAAGAAACATAAAAAGCGTGTTCTCCTGGCATCCAGCACCAGAACCAGCAGCAGCAGCAGTGCAAGCGGAGAAGCCCTGCCTCGAGGTCTGGGATTTTGACTTTCGCAAGATTTCCTGTTTGTGAGGCGTGTGTAAAGGAAAACATTTAGTGAAAGCCCCCCCCCCGATATTTTCTTAGTTTTCCATATGTGAAATGATGTCTAGGCACTTGGTCAACTATTTTTTCCTTACAATCCATTATTTATTTAGCATTATATTGTTTAGTTTCCATCCATTTGCATAATTTCTGGATTTTGTCATTGATTTCTAACTTCATCACACTGTGATCTGATAATATACATGGCATCATTTCACTTGTCTTACATTTACTAAAGCTTGTTCTGTCGGTGAGTATATGATCTATTTTGGAGAAATTGCTGTGTTGAATTTTTTTTTTTTTCATTTTAGGGAAGGGTCTACAGGGTGTTCAGGATCTCACTACTAGATCAGACTTGCAGTGATTCTACTGTTTACAGCCTCCCAAGAGCTGGGATTACAGGCGTGCACCACCACGCCCAGTCTCAAGTGCTGTCTCAGTGCTCCCCAGGGGCAGGGCTGGTACAGCAGGCCTGGAGATCGAATCCCCGGCCCCTGCGCCTGCTTGCAGGCACTTTCATCTGCTGAGCTATTTGGCCGGCCCTCAATTCTGATACAGTATTTGTTTGTAGATTTTTTTGTTTAGTTGCTCAGTCTGTTTGTGATAGTGGATAGTAAAACCTTCTGCTATCATCATGCTTGTGTACTTGATCTTTTATGTCCAGTTTTACTTTTTTTATAGGCGTGTGCCACAGTTTGGACCATACATGTTAGTAATTGTTATCTCTGCCTGCTGCATTATTGCCTTCACCACTATCTTTTTTTTTTCTTTCTCCTCCTTAGTTTTCAATAGTTCAATTCATTCTCCTGATTTTGAAACTTTTTTAGACAAATGTACTTCTGGACAAATGTACTTCTAAGAAAGTCCAAAGAGCTTTCATTATAAACTACATCGTTATTTGTGATAATGTAGGTATTCATTTACCAGGTTTTTTGTTTGTTTTTTTAAATGTGTTTGGTGCAGGGTCTCACTACAGAGCTCAGACTTGTAGTGATCCTCTTGTTTTCAGCCTCCCCAGGGGGCCTGCCCATTAGCTTAGCTGGTTAAGTGCCTGCATAAGTGAAGGCAGTCAGCCTCAGGATACTATGGTTCTATCCCCAGATCCTCATGACTTACCAGAACTTCCCTTAAGGTATCCTGAGCCAGCAAAAAAAAAAAAAAAAAAATCCTTTTTTCAGCCTCCCCGACACTGGGATTACAGGCATGCACCACGACGCTTGGGCTCAGTGGCCGGCTCAGCGCACCCAGGGGCAGGGCATGTGGTACCAGGATTAAACCCCAGTTCCTGCGCTTTCCTAAGCAGGTGCTTAGTCTGCTGAGCTATCTTGCCAGCCCTCATTTTATAGTTTTAGGCTATTGAAAACTCAGTAAATGTTCATAGAGAAAAATCTTCTAAAAGCTCTTTATCGATTCTTTCAGTTTTATTTTTCCAATGAAAATAATAATAATAATAATAATAATAATAATCTGTTTATACTAACCATGTCCTGTATCAGTGCTTAATCAGGAGAGTCTAACCTAAATATCTCAAGCTTGTAAAATTCTTCAAGTGACCAAGGGAGTAAGGTGGAGTTGAGAAAATCAAAAATTCAACAATCATAGACCTTTACTGCTGGTCTTAGTGGCTCTAAAGTGGGTAAATCACAGAAGGACACACAGAAGTTGCTATTAAACTTCCCATTTTACTCTTTTGTTATTGTACTGGAACAATAATGGCTATGTCATCTCAATGTTCTAAATCTTGAGTAATCATTTACTCAGAGAATATGTATCATAAGATTATAACTGATAGGCAAGGATTCTAGGATACATAGTTCCTGGGCTTCTGCGCCCCTGAGATACAAGAGCAGCAAAAAAGACAAAATAGTGTTGAGCTGCCAGTCAGCAATCTATCACATTAATTATGACCTCATCATCCAGAAGTGTACATAGCTTTCTCTTTTTTATTATTGTTTTTAAATTTGGTACAGGGTCTCACTGTGCAGCTTGGACTTGTAGTGATACTCATGTCTCTGCCTCCCCAGCGCTGGGATTACAGGTGTGCGCTACATACCCGGTTATGGCACGCAGTACTGAGGATCGAACCCTGGTCCTTGTGCTTGCCAGGCAGGCACTTAGACTGCAGAGCTGTCTCCCCAGCCTAGTATTCATACTTTTCTTGTCTTCCTTTAGCTACAGTGCTACCATTGTGACGTACACAATTGTCTTTTCATCTGACATTCAGCACTATTTGCTGAGTGCTTGCTTTTCCCAGGGCTGAGGATAGAGGTGGTTTGGTCTGTGAGAAGCTCACAGTCTAAGGGGAAGGTGGTCATGTAAATAAATATTTTGGACCAGGGTAAAAGGCGCTAATAGTGGACAGATGGAAGTACATGGTAGTACCAAGGAAGGGCACAATTTTTCTGGATATGTCAACTCTGATTTCATGTAAGTCATGTTGTTTATTCTGGGAAGTAAAAGAAAGAAAGCAGGATGTGCAAAGGCACAGAGACGTTAGGCATGGTATGGAATGTGAAAACCAACAATCTTCTTCAAATCAACGAATGAAAAAATGGCATTTCTGCCATTCCTGCTGGTAGGGAAGGGCAAGCCTTTGCAGTAAGCAAACACTTGGTTTTGGTACGCCATCTCCTAAGCAGATGACCACATGCACATGTCCCTTCTTCAGTGGTTACCTATCTGAGCATTTCAAAAGGACTTATTTATCAGTTTAAAAATATTGGTAAAAGACTAATATATATGATATGACTTGTCCTAGTGTGAACAGAACAATGCTTATGGACTTGGCACCCCAGAAGGAGATACGTAAATGTATGGTGTTTACCTGTGGAAAGTGCTAGACTAGACAGAAAAAAAAAGAGTGATAAGTTATACGGTGCTTGGGATAAACACATAAGTGTGACAGGACGTTGGGCTCCTGTGGAGGTGCTGTGCAGGCCCAGACAGAAAGGGTGAGATGGAGCTGTCCATGCAGAATGGTAAAGAAAGAATATTTCAGGCCCAGAAGTCAGTACAGACTACAAAATGGGAGGTAAGCCTCATGTGGTCCAGGGACAGAAACAGATACAGTTGACAGGTGCCATAATGCTGTCGGCTTGTTGATGAGGACCAAGTCATCCAGGATTCTGATGGTCAAGATAACGATTCCAGAGATGGCAAAACACGGGGCCCCTTACCCAAAAGGCAGGGGTTGTATTTGGGAGTGTCATGACATGATCTACTGTACTTTTCAAGTGTGTGTGTGTGTGTATGTGAAAGAACACTAACTATAAGACAAAAAAATAAGAAACTTAGATTTCATCAAAATTTTAAAGATCTGCTCATGTCAATCGCCATTAAGAATATGAGCAGAGGGCTGGGGATGCAGCTCAGTAGTAAAGCACTTGCTTAGCATATGCAAGACCTAGAGTTCAATCCCCAGCACCAGGAGCAGAGGCTCCTGGTGAATGAGAATGAACAGGTCAGCCACAGCCCAGGAAGAGTCCTGGCAGAACATGTGCCTGATGAGGAGCTTCTAGCTGGGCTGTGTAAAGGGTCCTCTCCAAATTTGCGGTGAAGGCCAGCCAAATAGCTCAGTGGATTAAAGTGCCTGCAAGCAGGCACAGGGGCCAGGGGTTTGATCCCCGGGGCCTGCAGTGCTGCCCCCCCCCCCCGGGCACACTGAGACAGCAGTTGAGTAGACCCTTCCCTAAAAATACAAAAAGAGAAAAAAATTCGCAGTGAACACACACACTTGAAAAAATATGCACAAAAGAAGGTTTGCAGGTGGCAAGTGCACACCCACTAGAAAAGCTGAAAAACAAAAGCTGTACCATATCCAATTTTGGAAAGAAGGCAACACAGCCAAAACCCTCAGATGCTGCTAGTGTGTAAGATGAGACCACTTTGGAAAACTCCTTGGCAATTCGTTATCAGTTCAGCATGCTTCTACCCTTGACCCAGAACTCCTACTCACACAGGTTTAACCCTAAAAAATGAAAACCTGCTCACTGTTCAGCCTTATTCACAACAGCTGTAGAGAGGAAAATGTACCTACAGTTTAAAAACCTGTAGTATGTTCACAAGTGGGATATTAAGCAGTAAGAAGAAGAAGATGAACTTGTGGTAGGCACAGTGCTATGAGTGAATTTCAAAACTGTTGCACTGCGCTGAGTTCAAGAAGCCAAATATAAAAGAGTGAAGATCGCACAAAGCCCAGGATGCACAAAGCCAGGGCAAATGACAGCCTGGGAAGGGAGAGGAGCTGACTGGAAGGAGCAAGGGGCAATGTTTTCAGGGTGATAAAACTATATTTTTTCCTTTGGATCACAGGTACAAATGTTCCTACCGGTGTGAAAACTCATAAAACCATACAGCTGGGATCTGAGCACTTGAGCTATGATTTCTCCTTCAATAAAAGGCCCACATTTTAAAAGAGATGCACATGTGCTTGCCTGGAAATGTCGAGGTTTCCTTATGAAATGTGGAATAATGGAAAGAGATCTAAAGTCAAGCACACATGGGTTCCAACTCCCCTAACAGGTGACAGAGCTGGGGGCAGGCCACCTAGCCTCATTCAGTCTCCACCTCTGCAAATAAAAATACCCACTTTACAGGAAGGGTAAATAAAATTGGTCATAAAGCATTTCACTTAGCCTCTGTCACCTAGGAGGTTCTCAGTAAAATAGCCATTTGTTTAAAAAAAAAAGTTATTTTAAAACTGTAACCTTGAGGGTCTAGCTCAAAATATAATGTGGTTCTGCTTTACAATGATGCCTCACACAATTTAAGGCAAAAGTCAAAACTCAGAAGAAAAAAACCTGCAAAACCATAAATTAAAGGATGCACTCTGCACTGTGGGAGGACTGTGGCCACAGCTGGGAGCTATCTGTTCCTTGTGATTATTACAGGGAAATCTGGCACTTTCTGTGATCGGACTCAAATCTGTCATCATCTTGTCCTGTCTCATCCTTCGGCCAATGTCAGCCTAGAGAGGAAGGGCAGTTAGGAATGAGGTCTAAAAAGCTGGAATTCCTGAAGGTGGTTATTGTCTATTTTTCCTGAGGAAACGCCCAATTTTACCTTTCCAGATGTCTCCACGACAAATTATTTATGCAGCTTCAGTGCTAATCTGAAGTTTTGGTGAAGAATTGAAGGAAAAATAAGAATGGAACTCGAATGCATCCTTATCCTTAGCACGTAATTTCTGGTCCCTCTTTCTTCTGCTGAGCCACCTTTCGTTTCTCTGCCTGATCCATGTTTTAGAAATTGCCCTGGAGAGCCCTTCCTCGCTTGTCCTGTTGGCTCTTCTTGGAGAAGTCTCTCTGGGCTTTTCCTGGCAGACCAAACTGGCCTGCAATACCCCCTCTCTCTGACTGTATTCCAGAGAACCCCCTCCTGCCCAGCATTTCCATCAGTAGTTACAGTAAGTCTGCTGAAGGTGCCTACGATTTAGAGGACCTCCTTGCGCTGTGGAATGGCTTTCTCTGTGTGCTGCTTGAAAACCCAGACAGGCAGCTAACCTGAAAACAGGTCCTGGTGGTCTTTGGCCATATCCTCTCCAGCCCATCATCATTTCCTACTTGGGGGCTGTCATGACATTTCATTTCCTTTCTACAGAGCCTTTTTGGGAACCTGGTAACTGGACACATTGTTCTGCCACCTGTGGCCACTTGGGAGTCCGCATTCAGAGACCCTACTGTGTGACAGCTGCTGGGCAGGAAGTGAGTACAGCTCTCTGTGGTCACCTCCAGAAGCCAAGGGCCGGGTTCCAGCCCTGCAACATCAGAGACTGCCCTGCAAGGTACGTGAGGTCACTCTTACAATGCCAACTTGTGGCTACTTTTTAAAGGGACAGCCCTCTGGGCACGTAGCTCAGTGGCATACAGTTCAGCATTTCCTCTGCGCCCGGTTTCTGTCTTACAGAAGAGAACACACCCAAGTCCTAGGCCTTCCAGTTCCAAAAGCCAGAATTTGAGCAGTCAGTCTGGTTGCAGAGCCCTGGCCCTTAGTCATCACTCATTCCTGCGCCCTGAACTCAGCACTGCTACTTCCTTATGCCGATAGCGAGTCTGAGATCCTGAACTCACTAGGCTCAACCCTGACAGTAAATCTGTGATCAATGACTTATTTCTAACGCCACAATGCCTGTCTCATGATATACTCTAAATATGAGTGGAATGAATGAATGATTGGACAGCATAGACCCTAGCAGATAGCTGGCCAAATGGCAGCAAAATCAACAGTCAAATAATTAACAAAGAGGTACTGACAGCCAGTCACCTGTGTCTAGGAAGACAGCAGGAAGCAGAGTCACACTGGAAAGCCAAGCTGCTGCCTGAGGCTGTTTCCAAGGCCGTTGGTATCCCGGGCATCCTGACTACTATGTCTCTCAATGCCCACTGTATGGATACTTCTTGTTTTATGACCCAGTTATCCTCCTGTGACTAGATTGTTAAATAAATTGGTTGCTAAATGAGGAATTATCTATATTATGCACATTACAACATTTGGAACAAAGAAATGGCCAAAGGAACCTCCAACTTAATTGACATTGCTTTACTTGCATAACACACAGCACTGTGATGTGTAGCAGAACATAAGATGACAGTACTATACAGTGTAATCAGAAAGTTATAGTACTATATAAACAAAGGTACTGTACACAAATAGACGTTGGTGCTCTATCATCAAGATGTACAGAACCGTACAAAAGGAGGCAGGTCAATAAATGTGAACGGTCATTAAGCAGGTATGTCATTAAACAAGGAGTGTCGATTTTATGCATCATGTTATCAAGATAGTTCAATTAGAATGATTTGTTTTTCTTAAGAACACATCCCCTCCAATAACCTTTAAAATAAAATACAGCAGCCACCAATGAATCATCATGTTGGCTGGGTTCAGCTGATACCTCCCATATCAGAAAAGACAGGGCTGAAATTTATTCAGAAAATCCAGGATAGCTCATGATATAGCAATAGTATAGAATACGCTTATCAATAGTCATGATTGCCCAATAGATGCAGTCCAAATGCTATCTTTAGAAAGTCTGTAAAGTGACTAGTCCTGCATGTCCTCACATGCCTTTTTCTGGCATCTAGCAACCTCCATGAATTCTTCAAGGTTATATTGATCTTACAGTTGGTAGTTGTGGAAGCTGTGACTTGAGGCTCATTAACAAAGTAGCTTCTGCATGTCATTGTAAGGGACCAATGAAAATAAGATATCATAAAACTATGAACCTGCTGGACTCTAAAAATTATTGTACATGTCCAACACCCTTGACAGCAAAGCTGGTCTTGATGGAGCCATTGCTCTATCTCTGTGGTAAATACTTAGGGGGATAGAAAGGCATATGAGGCATGCAGTAAATAGCCAGGAGGGTAAGAGAAAAATTAAACATATAAGACAACCACAGAGCCAATAATAACAATGATAATTAATTGTTCAATTGTTTCCTGCGATTCAGAAGTGTATGTAGAACCCTTGAGAAAATATATCCACCCACATGTTATGAGATGTTTCTGCATATCCGAGAGTTTTAAAGGTAACATCACTTCTATAGAATTTGTTTATATCTGGGAGTTTATTTACCTCCAAATGAACCAGTTTTATTGTCACCTGAGGATCTGTCAGAAGCAGTGATCCTTAGAAGTGAGCCCAGTAAGAAAAGTGCAGAGAAGGTTTTGTGGCCCTTTGACACTGCATCGTAAGTGATCAGTGGGACTTATAAGACTGTGCTCCAAATCACTCTCTTCTGTATCAAAACAGACAAAATATGAGATTGCATATTTTGCCTCAATAACCAAAAAAAAGTCAGTTTATTTTTCCACTAGTATCAGACATTATAGAGATAGTACATATTTTGAGCACATTTGCCTTTACATTGAATTTTGTGTTTATTTGCACAACGTGCTTAATGAATTGCCTAAAATGCAACTGGATACAACCATATCTCGTGTTCCGACCAAAATCTGTTCCTACAACTAGGGCACTAAATGAGGAAATGTATATAGTAAGTGTGTTGCAGTATTCAGGACAAAGAAGTGGTCAGAGCAAACTCCAACTTGATGACTTTGGTTTTATTTGTGTAACTCTTACATGCAGTACTGTGATGTATAACAGAACATAAAACTATAGTACTGTGCTGTACATACAATCAGCAAAAATTACAGAGCTGTAAGGTATACTGTATCAAAAAAGGCACTGAGGCCCTAAACAAGATATACAGAACTGTTGAAAGAAAGAAGAGAGAGAGAAAGAAAAGAAAAAAGGAGAAAGGGAGAAAAAAGAAAAGGAAAAAAGAGGTAGAGAGAGAAGAAAGAGAAAAAAGAAAGAAAAGAAACAAAAAAAGGAAGGAAGGCAGGAAAGCAGGAAGGAAGGAATGAAGAAAGGATGGAGAGAGATGGACTATAAATCCAAGTGGCGGGTCATAAGTCCGAACTCGTAGATCATTAAATGAGTATCTGTAATAAATGAGTATCAAAGAACGATCACATGCTAAGAATCACCCATCAGAAAGTGTGGAACTCACCCTACAGTAGTGGAGGGAACAAGAGGAAACTGGTTCACAGAGGAAACTGGATCTGAGGAAGCTGCTTTTTGTCAGTTCTTGATTTTTATAGAATAGATAAGATACACACTGGGACACTCAGCAGCAGCGATGTTTATTAAGTATTCTCAAGCCTTTTCACTAGGGTTAATAGGGTCATACACTTGCCTACCCGCTAGAGAAAACAGAGGTCACCCAGGCCCCCAGATCCCTGCACATCACAGTTCTTCCTCTTAACGTGTCTGTGCCATGATGCCTTCTGGTAGGGAAGAAGCCTTTGGCTACCTCCTCAGCAAGGTTTTTAAATATATAAATGAAACACATGTGGTTTACAAAAGAATGCACTTATATTGAAATATATTTCTTGAATTTTTTACAAATGAATGATACAGTAAGATATTTGCTTGTCTCTTAACACATTAACAATGTCTAGTTGTACTTTAATTTTAAAGTGGCAGGGGCTAGGGAGATAGCTCAGCAGCACAAGCACAAAGACCTGACAAGCACAAGGTCCTGAATTTGATTCCAGGTATAAATAAATAAACAAATAAACACACACACAAACTGGCATGAATGTAAATGTTTTGAGATTACATAATTATAATGTGATATTGAAATGCCTTTAATTTCCATTGATAACAAAATCTCGGGTACCACTGTTTTGGTGTGTGCCGTTTTTTTTTGTTTTTTTTTTTTCAAAGTTTTATTGACAAACAGATAGCAATGAGACAGTTTCAAATCAAATCGGAAGGACAGTTTCAACAAATAATACACTGCATACATTCTTCCTAGTGGTTAATTGCTGTACAAGATACAGACTTGAGATCCTATTTACAAACACCATTAGAACAAATCATTCTATTCATTAAGAGAATGCAACTATATATCTATCCCAACCTCTTTGAATACACAGATACAAAATGGACATTCATCTGTATACCCCATTTTTTCTAAGTTCCGTTATTGAATATTATAGGTGTGTAAACTCAGCAAAATATTCTAAAAGAGTCCAGTAGCCTATAATAGCATTGGGTCTTATATTTAACTGGCAATGTCAGAAATTATTGACCTGAGTCCCCCACAGCTCAACTTAACAGCATGGCTTTATTTCTTATATTTCGACTTCATACTTTTCTACTGGATGGTTAAGACCAAGGTAAAGCAGGACCTATGCAACAAGAGTTGTAGCTTTTTGGTCTGAGAAGGTCAGTGAAATGCCCTCAGGATTTGTCCTGAGATCCTGTACCTCAGATTGTAGAACCTTCATCAGTGCAGCCATGTGGATGAGTCACGGCCATTGCTTGGCCAATGTGCTCTCTGTGAAAGCCTGAGAGAGTGTCTTCTCCCCATGTGACTCTCCTTAGGCCCACTCTACGTCATCGATCACTTTCCTCTTTGGCCCCATGTGTGCCGTTTTTAATCACTGAAGGACATACTCAATTACATTTATACTCAGTGGCCAAGAATAAGCCCTTGTATAACTATGGAGCTTGTTTAGGAAGATCTGCTTCTCAGGACCCCAGTAGGACAGTGGACACCTTCAGTAACAAACTATTCAGTGCCTCAAAGATGTGCACATCTATGTTTAGCCTCCTATAGTCATCAAAGTTTAAACTTTAGGGCCAGATAAATCTAAAGTCCAATCCTAGCTCTATTGCTAGTATAGTTATGTGACCATAGCAGATTAATTTAGCTAATTATTTGTAAGAAGGAAAAAACATAAAAAGGTAAGTATACGTTAGAGCAAACAGCACATAGCACTTTAGAAATATTTTCTTCCTCTGCTTTCAATGAATGGAGATTGCTTTTTTGAAATTTCCATGTAATTTTGCCCTGGCTACACCCTCTGGGGCCATACAAGTGACTGTTCTTCCCTAAACCTGAAGATAACTAGCCCAGCCCTATAATGATCTCTCCACATGGTGAGTTTGTTGTTCCTGAGTCAGAGTATGTCTGAGAAGAAGATAGGGATTATCTGTGCAGCTGCCCTTTCCCATGAGGATGGGTGACAGCCCTGGAATGATCTCAGTATTAGGTCAGCTCCTTCTTTTGACAAGCCCATCCGTGAGGTCCAGCATACCAGTCTTACTAAGGCCTTGTAGTCTTTGTTCCTAGGTGGTTCACAAGTGTGTGGTCAGAGTGCTCTGTGTCTTGTGGGGAAGGGTTCCACAGTCGGCAAGTGACATGCAAACAGACGAAAGCCAGCGGAACTGTGCAGGTGGTGTCACCAAGTGCATGTGACCCTAGTGACCAGCCTCTGGGAAGAAAACCATGCTCTGGTCAAGCATGTGCTCAGTGGGTCACGGAACCAGGCAACCAGGTAATCTCTTGTGTGGATGGGACTTTCTATAATCATCTCGTTTGCAATAAAGTTTTTTATAGGGTGGAGGAATCTGATTGATCTGTAAACTGAAATTACATCTCTGGCCTCAAGGTCTGCATTTGGAAATGACAGTGTCTCTGTCTTCCAGTATAAAGTTAGGTTCTCCAAATACAGTAGACCCAGCTACACAATAATAAGCACTCAATAACAAATGCACAATAACAGAAACTCCAGGATGAATCCATTGAGCAGTAGGAATAAAAACAGCCTTCAAGAAAAGGAAGGGGTGGGGCGATAGCTCAACAGTCTAAGTGTCTGCTTGGCAACCCAGTTCGACCCCTGGTACTGCATGCTGTGCCCGGCCACCCCTAGGCACGCTGAGCCAGCCACTGAGACTGGGACTGGTGGCTTATGCCTGTAATCCTAGCACTGAGGAGGCTGAAACAGGAGAATCACTATGAGTTTAAGATGTATAGTGAGACCCTGTACCAAATAAATGAAAAAAAGATTAAAATAAGAGTAGGAATATGAATGATATCAGCAAAACCTCAGAACTCATACACCAAAAGCCACCCTAAAGAAAATTATTTTAATTAAAATGCTTGGTAATATAAACATTATGTAGTACAAACATATATTGATAAAGTGATCTGAAATAAATGCTTAATAAAACAATGTTCTTAATATACAGAAATTCTTAAAAATATAACACATTATTAAGCTACATAGAATAAATGTTGGAGTAATAAAAGTTCTATTACATTCCTGTATGGAAAATGTCAATATGGATAAATTGAACTTTATCAGAACTAAAACTTTTATTCTGCAAAAGATATTATCAAGAAAGTTTAAAAAAAAAAGAAAGAAAAAAGAAAATTATGGGGCTGGGGAGATAACTCAGTAGAATAAGTGTTTGCCTAGCAAGCACAAGGGCCTGAGTTCAATCTCTGGTTCTGCCAAAAAAAAAAAAAAGAAAAAAAAAGAAGAAGAAGAAGAAAAAGAAAGCAAACAGATGACAGAATGAGAGAAAAGACTGAAACATATCTGGAAAGAAACACATATCCAAAATACATTTTGAAAACTATAACTCAAAACCACAAATAACCCAATTAAAAGATGAACAAAAGGGCCTAGGGATATAACTCAATGGCACAAGTGCCTGCCTAGCAAGCACAAGGTCCTGAGTTCAATTCCTGGTACCCCTCCAAAATATCTATATATATATTATATACATATATATATGAGTATATAATATATATTATGTATATTATATATTATATATGAGTTGTATTTCTTGATTAAATATTTACAACCAACCAATAACCATATAAAAAGATGCTTGATATTAGTCACTAGGGAAGAGCCAACCAAAAAACTAGGATGGCATTAGTTTAGAAAAAAAGATATTTCTGGAAGCAAGGGCTTCCATGGAACCAGAACCTTCAGACACTGCTGGTGGGAAGTAGAGAAGGGCACAGCCACTCTGGAATACAGTTGCACAGGCCCTCAAAAGGTTGCACATCAACTGTAATATGGCCCAGGAATTCCATTCTGAGATACATATCGAGAGAAATTAAAACATAAGTCCATATAACAACTTGAACAAAAATGTTCATAGCAGAATTGCTCATAATAGCCAAAAAAGTAGAAATAACACAAATAAAAATACCCTTGAAATAAGGAAACACAGATAAGTAAACTGGAGTGTTTATACGGTAGAATGTTATTTTTTGCCTCTAAAAGAAATGGAGTGCTGGTTCACTGTCAGGCATGGAGGAGTTGAGCGCTGGGTTAAGAGCGAGTCAAGCACCTCATACTGCATGACTGTGTGGCCAGAACAGGTAGCACATAGAGCCTAACAGTAGACCCATCGGTGCCGAGCCCAGGGACAGAGGAAGTAGGAATTGGGGTGCTCACTGAAGTATTTTATTACATTTCATGGGGATGATGTTAGTGTTGTAAAATTGATTGTGGTAAGGCAACTCTGAAAACCATGAGATTGGGTGAATTAAATGGTAGTTTGCATTAATCATGCCCAAGAAAGCTGTTAGTTTAAAAGATAGAGAAAGCTTCACTTTCTCTAATAAGAAAAATACATTGAAGCAGACACTAGACACGAAGTATACACCAAATTCAATACTGACCTGATAAAGAGCTAATTGTAAAAGGAATGAAACACCAATAAAACTGTCATAATATTAAAACTATCATGATGGGAAAGACCTCTGCAAAAGTAGAACAAACTATGAGGAAAAGTTGATAGACATTAGGGCTATGTAAAAATTGAACAACTGAAGATCACACTTTGAAAACCTTGCTTCCCTGTAATTGAAGTCACCTGAGCACACAAGCCTCTATTTGGCTCTGAACAGAAAAGCCCAAACCTGGCAAGTGACGTGGTTCTAAGCGTAGGTGCTTCCAGACTTCATTAAGCCAAATCAGTTTTAGATTCCCTGTCCTTTGCCCACCTCTCCCCATCTGGTTGAAGTTTCAGGGGGCAAAAGGAGAGGAGAAAGTGTGGATATCCTCCAGGTTCTGCAGAAGGAGTGTCTGGGCTGCTATACCGGTCTCTGACCCTCTCCTAATCTGTGGGACAGTCGTCCTCCTGCAGCTGGCCTTTGGCTGTCCTGCCTCCTCTGTGACTCTGCACACAGCATGTGTGGTCCATGCTATGTTTGCTTCTGTTCTCCAGTGTCCTGGACACTGCTTGGGCCATGTGGCGAAGATACAGCAACATCACACAGCGTGTGGACCCCGCAACAGCTCTGACTGCAAGGAGAGGAGGTACTGGGCCCACCCTGGGGACAGCCTGGACTCTACCTGCCTCAGTCAGGGACCGAAGCTCTCTAGAAATGGAATTGTTAGGTTTACCTTTTTAAAAATCTTTTGGAAAGAGGGTTTCACTATGCAGTTGAGACTAGCCTTGAACTTTGTCACCCAAGCTGGCCTTAAATTCCTAGTGATCCTCCTGCCCCAGCCTCCTGAGTGATGGGATTACAGGTGTGCACCAGTACATCTGCCTACCACTTCTCATAATTAATGATTTCTATTATGCTGTTTTAGAGCTGTTCTTAGCAGTAAATGTTCTCCTGAACTCTTAGTCAATAGGTACTACTTATAATTACAGTTATTTGAAAGTTAAGCATAGAAAGAAAACATCCTAGGAGAGAAAATATGGTAACACTGAGAATAGAAAATTTTTCTCTATATATAAAAACTTGGTATGAAATATCTCATTTAGTTTTACAGATTAAATCTTTCCAGTGTTCTCTGGAGCTATTGTATTCCCTTGTTTTAAAACTGTTTGGATTAGGATGTTGACACAGTCATTCCTCTGAAAATAAACCTTTATTTCATGAAGGGGCTTAACCAAGAGAGGATTTTTTTTTTTTGTCACATCTAAAGAGCAGGAAGGTGGTGTAGGGAGAAGAGCTTTGCCTTTGGGGTCATCCAGAGATGTAGGCTCTTCCCATCTGGCAGCTCCCCCACTCTAGAGAGTGGTGGCCTGGCAGCAAGCAGCGGGAGAACGTCCCAGAGGGCACACAGGTTGGGGTGCTGTGGTGTCCTGTCATTCTCCTGTTGGCTGATCTTGGGTTGTCTAGCTCCCTACTTTGCAGCCTGGGTATTATCACATGGGTGACTTTCTGGCTAGCATGGTGTCTGTGTTGAGGCACTTCTTATTTATGCTTCCACATCCAGCTATTCTTTCCTCCTCCACATCCTGAGTGTTGGGGGAGAAAAAGGATGATATTGACAGCTGGTTTGGTTACCATTTAATCCTGCAGCCAGGTTTGGCAGCGAGAGCGAGCTGCATTTCTTATTCCTCCTGAGGCAGATGCAAGCCAGAGCTCTTCTGTTGGGAGCGTTTTCCACATCCAGCCCCAGCTCCTACTTCACAGAAAGGATCCAGACCACACACAGATCCCTGGGCATTTGCAAAGACATATTTACAACACAGTTAGCGATGAGTGGGCTGAGCTTTTTATGTTACCATGCCATACTTAGTTTTCATAAATTTGCTTTTTCTACCAAAAATACAAAGTATTCCCCCATCTTGGTTGACAAAAATTGACTGTATGATTTGAAGTGTTATATTTAATATTCCATTGGGATGGACATTTGTTTTATATATTTTGCTATTGCAGGTGTGCTGCAGTTAACATCCTTTGTACATGAAAGGAGATATTTTAATGGGTTCAGTTTTTAATTATGGGATCAAATTGATAAGCATGTTCGTTTGGATACTGCCAAACTGCCATCAAAATGCCTTCACTACCAATATGTGAGAATTACCCCCTCTTTATCAATGTCATATACATTTTCCTTCATCCAAAAAGTTTTTTGCCAATCTGATAAATTGGAAATTGTATCTCATTATAGTTTGTACTTGTCTGATTTTTTTATATTAGATACATTATGGTGCCTTAATATTTTTTTCTTGAATCCATCTTCTTTTTCCATTTTTCCACTATTACCTTTGGCCAGGCCACCTGGCCGCTGTCTCTCACCTGGGCACAGCTGCAACCACCAGCTGGGCTCTCTCCACCCACCCTTGTGTTTCCAACCCACCTTCTGTACTACAGCCAAGCAAATGTTCCAGGATGCAAATCTGATCATACCACCAGCTCCCTGCTAGGCTAAAAGCATTTTCGAGGCTTTGGCTGTTCCTAAGAGGATGACAGGTCAAAATCCTGCATGTAACCTAGGAAACACCATGTGCTCAAGCCTGCTTCTCTTCAGAGCCACACCTCAATCCTTCTGTCTTTGTGCTCTGGCCACAATGTCCTTTTAGTGCCTTGGACTGAACAGAAATGAGAAATGGAGGAAAACTGGTGGAACAGCTGCCATTCCTGCATTCATGCTTTATGTAGAGAAACACAGAGCCCCAACTGACGGTGTGCATGGCTTGGGGCTCAGACCTGGCCCGAAAAGTGCTGCCCTCTGCTGGGCCAGCTATGTGTCCCCTCACTGAATCCTGAAGGATCTGCCTCTGACAGGATCTGGGCTCCAGCTTCTGTGCTCCTTGTGCAACTCAGCCCTTGTCCTTAGGATGGCCTTGCTACCTTAGAGGAGAAGCTTGTGTTAGTTAAGGCCCTGTGGGATAAAAATAAGTCAATCTGGAATGGTTTCTGCAAAGAAGGCAAGAAATTGTGAATGGCAGGAGTACCCAACACTTATCTATAACAATTGATATCCTCTTAAATATATTCTTCAAGGTTTTTTTTTTTTTTTTTTTAATATTTGTTCAATCTTTTCCAGGGGAAAAGCTAATCTCTGCATAGGGAGATCATTGATGAGTATTTAATCTTAGTTGTTCAAAGTGACAGTTGTAGGCCCTTAAGATGCAGGCCAAGACTGCTGCTGGGGAAAGCAAGCAGTCAACAGGACACGCTCCTCTAACCGCAACTCTAAACCTTATAAATAGATTGGTGGGAACATAATTTTCTGTGAACGCTTTGGTAGAGTCTCCCCCTACTGGTTAATATAAGTTTTGCTTCCAATTCTGTGTAATAACTGCATCATACTTCTTCTTAGACAAGTTCAGGCTCTCGCAATTTTCTTAGAGAAGTTTAGGTTACAGTTCCCAGGGGTGTTTCAACATTTCTCATAGATTTATGTATGCTGATAAGGAGCCTTTAGTAGGTGTACAAAAATATCCCAGACCTCAGGAAGGATTGAAACCAAGAAATAAAGACATATTTTTTTCCTCTTCTTTCATCCATGATAGTGTATAAGTATTTATTTAAGTCTTTGCTATTTATAATGACTCTTTTTCTCTTTTCTATTTGGCCCAGCTTAAGAGCATATGTCTTGTTCCAGTAACTTCCAGATTCCTAAGAAAAGGACAGTTACGGAACCAGCCCAAGCTTGGGCGTCTTCCCTTTAGCTATGGGGCTGGAGAAACTTCTCATTCAGCACCAGGACATCTCCTAGGGTCCCTGTCCTAGGAGACACAACAGAAATGCCGCCGAACCTCCCCACCCCCTAGCTGCCTATACCCTCCAGGGTAAACATCTGCTTGGAAATTAGAGACCACTGACTGTCTAGCCTGCTGGAGGAGGCAGAAGCATTGGGGGGTGTTCTGCTTTCCAAGCAGTGGCCTGTAGCAGGTCCAGGTACAAGCCTGGGAAGAGCCTAACACTTCTGTGAGGAGAGGAGACGGTGCTCATGCGATTGCTGCTTAGGCGGGAGGGTGTATCTGGTGTTTATAAAAACAGAAAACTTAAGCCTTGTTAACAAATTTAAAGTGGTTTATTGGTGGCATGGCTGTAAATAATTCTCCTGGTTGCACAAATTGATCTGTGGCAGCTCAGTCAGGAGGGCCTATTTTCAAAGAGTGTGTGTGTGTGTGTGTGCGCGCGCGTGCGTGCGCGCGTGTGTGTGTGTGTGTGTGTGTGTCCTGGTGTTGGAAATTGGTGAAAACATGGGGTTTTCAGCCCAATCCTTTTTTTTTTTTTTTTTTTTTTACCAGAGTGCATCTAGACAGGGACTGTCAGGCACTCTAGATTACATGGCATAGAAGCAAGGGGTGGCTCGGTTTGAACTGGAATTCTTGAAGAAAGAGGCCTCATGATTGCCAGGGGTTGGGGAGACAAGTGTTCCCCAGAGGCAGCTCTACCTTGGGACTCGGTGGGAGTAGCTCACACTGCCTCCTGCTGGGGCAGTTTGGCCACTGGTCAGTCCCCACCATATGTTTTGAGCTTTATTTGGCATCAGAGGTTTATTTTATTCATTTCACTTCCTTGTATCCATAAAAAGGTTTATATGCATACCAAATTAACTTTTTAATCAATAGGCCTTCCTCATCTCCTTCTGTCATGTATTCATGGTAGCTTCCAGAACCTCCCTACTGTATCTATGGCAGCTGAGTAGACTGTGTGGTCATTTCAGTGGCTTTACAAATTAGCTTGGTTCTGACACCATCCAGCTGTCTTTGCCATGGTCATGATTAGACCACTCCTATGGCTAGTGCCCACCAGCGCCTAATGAGCAGGGTCTTCACTGGCAAGCCTTTGCAGAGACATGCGTCGTGGGGCGAATGCCTTGACCTGCCACTCCTTGCTCACATTCTGTTTCTGTTCCAGACCTGCCCTCAAGAGGAACTGCACGTCCAGGGCCTGTGAGGTGTGCTGGCGCACGGGGCCCTGGCGGCCTTGCACAGCAGCCTGTGGCCGTGGCTTCCAGTCTCGGAAGGTAGACTGTGTCCACATGCAGAGCTGCAAAGCTGTGGCTGACAGTCACTGCACTCCGAGAAAGAAGCCAACTTCCTGGCAGCACTGCCTTGGCCCTTCCTGTGATAGTATGTACCCTCTCAGGTACCATCGCTGGCCCATGGCCTGGCCTCCCTCCTCAGTGACATCAGTGGGGGATTCAGAAGGGATGTGGTGGCCTGGGACAGCAGACTCAGGTGTTCCTGTTCTCTAGGAAGGACCAGCTGGGTCAGTAGGGCTTCTAAGCCTGGTAGTCTCCTGTGTGGAGCCAGAGAGGCAGTGGCTGGGCTTAGGAGCTGCACCTATGTGCTGAGGTAATAGGGAACAAGCTATATGGTAAACGCTTAAATTTTTAAAAATGTATTACAGTAAAAGATAAATCGCCATGAGGTCCCCTTTGAAACACTCCCCCTTTGCAATATATAATTTTTATGCATTTGGTACAGGGTCATGCTACACAGCTCAGACTTGTAGTGAACCTTTTCTTTTAGCTAGGATTATAGGCATATACCACCTTGCATGGTCTCTGTGGCCCACTCACCAAAGTGGGGTGGGCCAGCATGGCATGCAGTACCAGGAATCAAACCTGGGCCCTTGCGCTTGCCAGGCAGGTGCTCAGACTGCTTAGGCATTTCTCTGGCCCACTCCCATTTGCTTTGAGCATACACAGCCCATCTTTCTTACCACTTTCTGAAGCAGCTCTGGAAGTCCTCTTTCCTGAGTATCTATATAAGAAGTGACCAAAAATAAGGTGATACAGCCGCTAAGTGTCACCTACTAGAGAGGTAGGATTGTAAAAACATTAGGGTGAGTCCTTGCCTACCTTTTCCACTAGATCTGGCACCATGTGACTTCTGACTTGTCCCCAAAGTCACAATAACCATAAAAGGTAAACATTCTGAAGCGATTCAGGACATTGAAGTAGCCATGAAGGCAAAACTAAAGGCATTCATTAAAGAGGACAGAGGATTTCTAGAACTGCTTCAAAAAGCGGCTGGCATGATGGACAGGTGTGTTCAACAAAGGGAGGATTGTGGGGGAGGTTAATGACAACGTGTCTTTGGCTGTGTCACATTTTTAAAATGTAAGCACTCCTAGTATTATTGTATCACATCCCATACATAGCGAGTTGAATTGTATGTTACTTTCTAGAGAGCAGAACCTCGCTTTGGTGAGGACCCCATGAATGGTCCAGGGCTCCATTAAGCCGCAGATGCTCTGAGCTGAGAGGAGCCGTGTGGCTGGAGGAGCTATGAGCTCCTAGAGCTCTGCAAGGCAACTTGATTGGGCTGGAAGTGAGTCGCGTGCACTTCTGGTTCCAGTGCCACAGCCCAAACCCAGGCTTGTTTCTTCTCTTCAACATTGTCCTTCATTGTATGGCTTTTGGTCCATTCAGAGGACTTTCTCACTAGGTCTCTAAGGATTTGCTATCCTTTCTCTGCAGGGGACTGCACAGACACGACTCACTACTGTATGTTCGTGAAGCATCTTAACTTGTGTTCCCTGGACCTCCACAAACAAAGGTGCTGCCGCTCGTGCCAAGCGGGGAAACCTTTGGCAGGGTTGTGACGCTGCCCCAACGAGAAAGGAACAACACAGAAGGTCTCATACCCATGTCTCTGGTTGAAAAACACATATTTCCTGAAGACTGTTGATTCTGTGATTAAACCAAGTTGATGCAAAACACCATTTTTTCAGATTTTGTAAAGTGAAATTTTCCCATAGCTGGTTTTTTATTCAACTCTTATAAATGATATATTCTGGGATTAATGAAAACACCACAGCACATGAGCCAGCGTACTTGGGACTCTTCCTGTCCACTTGATAGGGAAGTCAGCAAGATCATGATTGCTTCATCACAAAATGGGACTCACAGCCTAGCACGCAGCAGTGTCTCCTGAAGATTTGGGAAACACAGTGACTGCTGACTCTTCTCTGCAGCTACAGAGTTTCAACAAGTTCATAAGGCATTTACAATTTTAAAGCTTGGGCCAGTAGTTGTTCGGATGTTGTTGCTCATGGCATTTTCATAGATCCTTTAATCTGTGAAAGTAAGAGTCTCTCTGGACAGGTGTATGACACTGATGGGTCCAAGGGACAGCATCTGATCCTTGCTCTTAGGGCACTCATGGAAGGAAGCACAGTGGTTGTTGCTGCCACTTTCATAAATACCGAAATCTATTCATAACCAAACCAGGCATCTTGGAAATCAGAGAAGAGGGACGTTCACCTTTTCTATTGATTTTGAAGTCTATTGAAAGTCTTCTTCTAAGAGCTGTGAATGAAACTTTTACTAAGCACTATTCTCTTGCACAAAATGGTAATTCAGATCCTTATTAGACCTAATTTATGTATGGAGTAGTCTTCCTGAGGATTTTTATTTTGGAAAGTTTATAAGAAAGTAATCTAAATAAGAAATGTGGTAGTTGAAAAAGAGATGTTTATAGTAAATAACTCTTGATTTGAGCTGATTCTTCAATAAATCCAAAGTAAATTTGGGTTGGATAGAGGTGACACCTTGGGGACCAAGAGGTAGAGTTAGGGTTTGAGTTAGACCTTGGGGAAAATTGGGGATTAGTTTAAATTTGAGATTAGAAATAAAACTGGGTTAGATAAGAAAGGAAGTTAAGTTGAGGCGAAGGTTAGAGTTGGCTTTGAGGATTAGGGTTCAGGTGAAGGCCAGGTTAGGACAGAGCTGGGTGGGTCTTGGGCTGGGGCCAAAGCTGGTGTTGGTCATGGTGTCAGGGTGGAGGTGAGGTCTGGAGTGAACGTTGCTGCTGGTATAGGTTCCAGCCAGCACCAAACCATAAGCTCTAAAGCTGGTTTGGGTGTGAGGACCTTTTCCTGGTATTCTATGCATTGTGGCTTTAGAAGGCCCAACCCCCGAGGAAGTGGTCACTTATTCATTCAGTGTCCCGGCTGCCTGTGCCCTGCTGCCTACTGTCTGCTGGCAGCCGTGTCCCTGAAGCAGACTGTACTGGACCTTGTTCCCCGTCACCAAGCACCCTGGCTTTTGATCTGTCCACCGACTCACTCGTGCGTCTCTCTTGTGCTCTGAGCACCGCGTCTCTTCTGTCCTGACTGCAGCCTCACTGACACTGGGATGAGCACTACTGTATGTGGAGGGTTTGGTGACAGAGAACGGATGTGGGAGTGGGGAGGACACCCCAGCCCATGACTTGTTGATTGCCAATCACATTTGATTGTGAATGGTTATTAAATTAAGAGAAAGATCATTTGTAAAATACTCTTTGTATATATTTATTATATGACTTAAAGGTGCAATATTTTATTTTGTACAGTATGTAATAAAAACGGAACATATATTTTTCTTACTAACAAAATTTCTTATTAAATTGCTCTGCCTTTGTATTTAAAATTTGAAGTTACTGTTTTTCATTTGCTGTTTTACTTTTGTTATCATCTGGATGACATCCCTATGTACTGTATTTCACTACTGTTTTTATAATATAAGGTGATGCTTCTCTTTTATGATTCCTAAGTAATTCAGAAATAAATTTACTTTGATATTCAGTGGCATCCTTATAAATGTGGGTGGCTTATTTTTGTTGTGTTTTGGGGGTCTTGAGTGTTGCCATCTCGCTGTTCTTCTACTGGGAACCCTAAGAAGTCTGGTCCCTTGAGCTGGGCTTCAGAGTGTGGGTTGCAGGTCCAGAAGAGACCCCACAGAACTCCTTTCATGCCATCTTCCTGACTTTCACATCTCTGAGTCCTATGAAGAAGAATGTTGAGGACAGATGAAGTTGAAAGAAGTCCTGAACAGCCTGAAGTGGGTGGTAGTTGGGAAAACAAGAGGTACTGTGTGTGTGTGTGTGTGTGTGTGTGTGTGTGTGTGTGTGTGTTGTATAAACTTTATTTTTTAGAGTATTACCTAAGAGATTTCTCATCTGCACCTTGCCCTAGCACCTAGATTACCTCCTCCAACATCAGCAGCTGCATCAGGGTTTTATGTTTGTTACTGTTGATGAAACTACATGAACATCATAATCAATGTCCAGTTTCCATGAGGGTTCCTTGTTGGTATTATGAGTCCTGTGGGTTCAGATAGATGTATATATTAACAGGCATCCATTATTATATTACCAAGAAGACTTAGTTTCAATGCCGTAAAAAATTATTCTCTGCTTTCACTGGTACTTTCTCCTGTTTGGAGTTAATTTTGTGAAAGATGTGGGTCAGTGTCTGTTTTATTTTCTTGTGTGTGATACGTCCAGTTGTTCCACCACCATTTGTTGAAAAGATTCTCTTTGTTCCACTGTGTTGATTTTGCCATTTTCTCAACACCAGTTGACTATATTGCTGTGTGCTTGTGTCCAAGTTGTCTAATTCATCTTGCTGTTTCCTTCTGTTCCACCAATACCACACTATCTTGATTATTGTGGTCTCAAATCTTTAGGTAGTGTTAAGCCTGAAACTTTGTTCTTTTCCTTCAATATAGCATTAATAGTTTGGGTCTTTTGCATTTCTGTATAAACTTTAAAATAATTTTTTCAATATCCAAGTGTCTAAAAGCTTGCTAAGATTTTGATGGGAGATTATAGAGAACCTTCAGGTCAAGTTAGAAAAATTGACTGTATTGAGTTTTTCTCTGGCGTAACATAGACTAACTCCATTTATGTAGTTGTTCTTTGATTTCTTTCATCAGAGATTTGCAGTTTTCTCATATATATTTATACATATTTTGTTACACTGATACCTAAGTATTTTATGGTGGATAGTGCCAATTAAATATTGTGCTTTTAATTTCATTTTTCATTAATGCTATGTAGAAAAGCAGTTGACTTTTATTTAGGTTGCGGGCCAGGGTGGAGGTGGGGGGTGAACCTAGCACCTTGACTGTGCTAGCCACGTTCTCCACCCCAGCCAGGCAATTGGCTCTTTTATATTAAACACTGTAGGCAACATTACTGTCATAATCATGTATTAGTTCCATGATTCCTAAAAGTTGGTTCTTTTCGGTTTTCTACGTAGGTGATCATGTCACGAGTGCAGAAGGTTGCATTTTTCCTTGTCCACCTCTACTTTTTAGTTGCTTTCCTTATCACATTTGCCTGGACTTCTAGTATGATGTTGGACATGAGTGATAAGCAGGGGATCTTGCCTCGTATCTCAGCCAAGTGGGAAATCTTGGCATTTCTGGTCATTAGGCATAATGTCAGTTGCAGAGATTGTGTGGAAAGCATCACGCTGAGAATGTTTTTCTCTTTTCCTAGTTGATTGAAAGCTTTTGTCATGAATGCATGTTGAATTTTAACAAATGATTTTTCTGTATCCTTGGATATGACCATGTGATTTTTCTTTTGGTTGATGTGATTAATGACATTAATTGATTTTTGAATGACCAATCAGGCCTGTGTAGTTGTGATAAATCACACGTAACCATAGTGGCTACTTCTTTTAAGCTATTGGAATTAATCTGCTCATGTTTTGGTGAGTATTTTTGCATCTATGCTCATAAAAATTACTGGTCGGTAAGTTTTTTTTAACTATGTTCATGTGGCTATAGTATTGCAGTGATGCTGCCTTCTTAGAATAAGTTTGGATGTATCATATTGAGCACTTGGAAGTATTTTATCCTTCGAAATTGACTGTAGCAAGTTGATGTCTTTTTTTTCCTTAAGTGTTCAATATAATTAACCAATGAATATATCTGTGCCTGTACTTCCTGTTTTTTAATATTGTCAATTATTGATTCAATTTCTTTTTTATGTATTTAGTACACAGTCTACAGGGTCTCATTATACAGATCAAACTCATAGCGATTCTCCTGTTTTCAGCCTCCCAAGTGCTAGGATTACAGGTGTGCACCATCATGCCCCGTTTCAGTCAGTGTCTCAGTAGGCCCCAGGTGCAAGGCCAACGTGACACTCTCATTTTCTTTAATAGATACACCTATTGAGATTATGTATTTCTTTTTGTGTGAGTTTTAGCAGATTGCTTATTTTTGCTTGTATGGAGAGGTTGGATGCAATTCTTATTTTTTTTTTCCTTGTTATGATTTAGACCTAAACTGTAGGGCTAGGCATGGTAGAGCACCCTTATAATCTCAGCACACAAGAGACTAAGACAAGAGGATCACTAAGAGATGAGTAATTTTCCTTCTCTAAGCCCTTCCTTGAAGCCAGTCAACCATGAACTGAGCCCTCATAAATCATGAACCAAAATAAACCTTTCTACCTTTTAAATTCTGACTATTGGGTATTTTGTGCCAGTATCAAGAATATGACTAATCTGCTACACGCCTCTAATACCTGAGGCTTTTTATTCCTTTGAGGATTTTTTCTTATATTTGATTTGATTGCAGCATGAAATGATCTATGTAAGTATAGTTTTTAAACCCTATTTTCTGCATATTTGTTTTCTGTTTTAGCACTTACTCTTTTGGTGATCTCTTTTTGTGTCTCACACAAATTTTGGGAAATCCTTAGCTGTTTGTCTCTGCCTCTATCCATGTTTCTCTGTCTTTTCTCCTGTGTCTGTGTGTCTCTCTCTGTGTCTGTCTCTCCCTGTCCACCTCCTAGTTCCATATATTATGTCTTTTGCAGTCTTCTTATACATAGTTCTCAGATATTATTTTCTTTTTTAGCCTTTGTTTTTCCATTTTGCTGATGTCCATGAGATGCTCTCAGACTCAGAGAATGTTTTCCTCAGCTGAATCTAGTTTATACTAATAAGCCCATCAAGGAATCCTTCAGGTTTTTTTAGGGGGGGGTTGTTTTGTTTTGATGCCTTGATATGGGGTCTCACTATGGAGTTCAGTGTAGTACCCAGGACTGAACTTGGGTCCTTGCACTTACCAAGCAGGCACTTATGCTGCCAAGCTATCTCCCTGGCCCCATCCTTTATTTTTGTTATACTGGCTTTCCATTTCCAGCATCTTTCTGGTACCTAGATTTTCCATCTCTCTGCTTAAATTGTCTATCTGTTTTGCATGCTATCTACTTTATCCATTAGAGTCCTTAGCATAGCAATCAGCGATGTTTTAAATTACAGTAAGTCCTTGGCTTAAGAACATTCCAGTTGCGAACCTTCACAGACAGGAACAGACCTCACGTTATGAACATTTGTAGATGATTCCTAGATGAGAACAGATCACGAGAGTGGCTCACCTGTCCAGCAGACATCGCCCAGTTGTGCTGCTGTGTGTGGGCTGTGCAGTGTGATGGTGTACTGGAAGACAGTGCTCAGCAGAGCCCAGGGTGACCAGAATCAAGGGGAAAAGAGGCAATGTGGAACGGATGCTAGGAAGTGTGATATAATATACACTGTGGATCTGTGTCAAAGGTATATAAGACTCTGGGGGATTAACGAATGAGTCCAACTTCTGCCCGAGCCTATGCCTCTGTGCTATAAATTTCAAAACAGGGTTCTGAGTTTTTCTTCCCTTAGGGTAGGTCAAGATGGCTGGGCTGGGCTGGGCTGCTGAGTCTTCTCCTTCTCCCTCATTGGAAGCTAGTGTAGGCTAGAGGTGGTCCATGGTCTCAGTCAGATTTTGATCATTATAATCATTCCAGCAATTCAAGTTATTTTTAATAAGCTTCTCCTGAGGGCATGCCTTGAGGAGAGAAGAACAGAGTGCTGTGGTATGTTTTAAGATGGCTTCTTTCTCCTCCCTGCCAAAAGCACAAATTTTTCTCTTTTACTTTGGGAAGCTGGTCAAGGTCCTGAAGGTAAATCTCACAATATGGCGAGTGCTGTTTCTCATGTCTGGAGACTTCAGTGCTCAGAATTGTCCATGTGGGACTTCATCAACTTTTTAGTTATGCTTCAGGTTTCCCTTTGGGGTTCCCATAACTTTCTGTAGGATTTACCCATCTCTTATCTAGGAGATACGCCTCTCCTGTTTTCTGGATCCAGGAAGAAGTGTTGATATTTGATTTAGTCTTTTTGGCTTTTTACTTGTTGGGATTGAGTGGTGACTTTCAAACTGGGCACTGCATGGCACTTTATTTGAGATCACTGTGAGTAGAGAGATCAATTTTACATGTCCAAAGCTAGACATTTTGCCTACATTTGGCAGAGAAACTCCTTATTCTAGCTTCTAATTTAATCATGAGAAAACATCAGGTAAGTCCAGAGTGAGAGTTGTTTATAGAATCCCTGGCCAGCTTTTCTGTCACTGGTCCAGGCTAAGAAGGCTCACTCAAGATTCAGGCAACCTGAAGAAAAGATGCAGAGCCATGGAGATGTCTGACACACCCTTACAATGCCAGCAGCAGGGGTGATAACATGGAAAAATCCTACTCACTTACCCAGGGTATATGATAGCACATAAAGCCAGAAAATTGCCAAAAAGTTACGTAAGACTACTTGCTCACATGATCACTATTCATGTCTGAGCCATATAATGTGCCAACACACTAGCAAGCAGAAAGCCTGAATCCGTCAACTTGGAGACCCTAACTAAACACAAGTGCTCCTCAAAAACATCAGTGTTAAGGCTGGGGAGATGGCTCAGTGGAATAAGCACTTCCCTGGTGAGTGCAAGGGCCTGAGTTCAATCCCCAGTTCTGCCAAAAAAAAATCAATGTCTAGAACGATTCCACTTATATGACAGACTCAGAGTGGTCAAAACAGAGAAGCAAAGAATTCAAAGGTGGCTGTCAGTGTCTAGAGGGTGCAGAGAAGAGTTGTTCAATGAAGAGAGTACTTTAGTATCATAGGAGGAAGTGAGTTGTAGAGATGGGGATGGTGATGTATTACTGATGCATTAATACCACTGAGCTGTATGCGTAAAAATACTGGAGATGGTAAATGATGTTTTGTCTGTTTTACTGCGGTGTTAGAAAAAGTGGGAAAACTCCAACACAGTCATTATTTTGTTCTTAGGTTGGTCCCTCTTTAGCCAATGGGAGCCTCCTGAAGTGAATACACCTACACCACCTATGGATACACATGTGCACTTCTTTTTATTTCTGTATCTATGAATTTGTACTAAAATCCTGAACATTCATCAGCACTGAAAGGCTCATTTTAGTCTACATTTTTGCTTATTTATAATTTCTTTCTCTGATAGGGAGAAGCTATGGTCCATTTTTTACAATATATTTGCTTGATTCATCGTTAGTATACATATAATAAAGTATCTTAAAATTGTAAAGACATATCCGTTAAGGACAGAAAATTACCAGTTGGTATATCCCATGTTTGTATACAATTCTTTTGGTCTTTGTTTTCATAGTGGCCAAGTTGAATACTGTTTGTCAAACGACTTAGGTCATCTCTTTTCTAATCCTGTCAGTATGGTTATGTGATTAATCTGAATACAGTTGTACCCATTAGTCACATGCTATCCTTTCTTGGGTCCATACTTTTCTTAGGTTTATGATTTTTATAATTTACATACAATATAACGCACTCTGTGGTGTTCTAATGGGTTTTCCAAATACATATATAAAATTTATTTATTTTGGGGTACCAGGGATTAAACTCAGGACCTTACACTTGCTAGGCAAGCTCAGTATTCTACGGAGCTATCTCCCCAGCTCTGGTTTTTCCAAATTTAGAATTGTATATCTGCCATCAGTAGACCTAGCCTCCACAAAATTCTTTTCTCCTGCTTTGTAATAAGTTGTCCCCATATCCTCTGCTCTTCCTTTTAATCATTCATATATTTTCTCCATAGTTTTGCCTTTTGCACAAATTCATATAAGTAGATCTTTATCCTCTTGCTGATTGCAGGACATGCAGGTTGTCCCCTAAATGATTACACACCAAGCTCTATTAACTTCACGTAGTTTCTGGTAAGAATCCAAGTTTTCATTTTTCTTCTGTGCAGCAGTTTGCTAGGTGATAGGATATGTGTGTGTGGCTCACAAAAAAAAAAAAAAAAAAAAAAAAACCTCAACTATTTTCCAAAGTAACTACCTCATTCTACATTCCTGCCAGCTGCATGGACTGTTCAGGCATTTTTTGTCCTTACTATTTCTCCCCACCACCAGGTTGATGTTGTTGTTGTTTTTTCCTTAGCCATTTATTTCTTGATAGATTGTAATTTTAACTTGAACTTCCCTAGTGCTTAGTGAGGTTGAGTACCTTTTCATAGGCTTAGTTGCCATCTTTCATGGACTGAATTCTATCTATGAAAGGATGAATGTTTTACTCTCATTGTCTATGAATGTGACCTTATTAAATAATAGGGTCTTTGCAGATACATTAAGATGAGGTTATTAAAGAATGCACTCATCTAACGCGGGTCCCTATGAAAAACAGGAAATTTGCATGCACACAAAGGTGAGTTCCTTGTGAAGGTGAAGGCAAAGCTCTTACAAGCTAAGGAACCCCAAAGCTTGCCAACAAGCCTCTAGAACTAGGAGAAAGGAATGGATTCGATTTTGCTCACAGACCTCAGAACGAACCAGCATTTGATCTAAAGGCCTCTGGCCCCAAGAACTAAGAATCGTTAGCTTCCTATTTAAGTCACTCAGTAGGTGAAACTTTGTTATAGTGTCCCTCGAAAAGTAACTGTCTCTAGTTGGTTAAATATTTGTTTACAACATTTGCCTATGTTTGTGGTTTATTTTTCTATCACTTGATTACCCCACGTAAGTACCTCCTAACCACATTTTCTTGTTCACCATTACAGTCCCAAAATGAGGATACCAGAGGCCACAAGGGAGCCGCTGTGTGCTGTGGTTGGGGCTGAGCTAAGAAGGGGTGACGCTGATGAAAGTGTCATGTCTGTGATGCAGGGTGAAAGTCGGCCCCTCCACATCAAAGAACAGTAAACAGAGAAAAGAGCTAAAGCCTTCTTAACAAAATATAAGAATCTTTAGCAGATTAAGCACTGCTTAGGCAAATGCAGGGACCAGGGTTCAATCCCCAATACCACATATAGCACCAGCCCTGCCCCGGGGCATGCGGAGCTACGATCAAATCTAGGCCTGGTGGCGCATGCCTGTAATCCAAGCACTGGGGAGGCTGAAAACAGGAGGATCACTATAAGTCCAAGCTGAATAGTGAGACCCTGTACCAAATACATTAATAGATATATAGTTATATATATATAATCTTGTCATTGCATGGCATAGTGTGACCCTTTACAGCCTTTCAAAGTTTGCTAGTTCATAATTTCAAGATTGACTTTCCTTTTCTCTGCTGGGCCTATGAGGTTTCCTTTCTCCATGAGTGATTCTCATGAGGGCTGTAGGTTTGTAATTTTGCATGAAAAACCTATCCATTAGTTAGAGTAAGACACTGGAATGTGAAATTCTCAGTCTCTAACTGGTGAGCACCCCCTCCATCTTTCCTGGCACAAAGATGTTTACTTATAATCATACTTTACTTTTGATAACAGTTTTAGGTTCACAGAAAACTGATGGGCAATTATAGAGACTTCTCATGTGCCTTGAGCGCCCCCACCACCACTACCACCACCGCATGTGCGCGCGCACACACACACACACACACACACACACAATCCCCTCTACTGTCAGTCTCTGGTTAGAGATGCTCATTTGTTACCAGTGATATACCCTCATGGACACATTGTCACAGGGAGCTCACGGTTGACATTAGGGTTCTTTCTGTGTTGTCCATGAAGTTTTTAAAAAATAAGCCAGAAGGCCTCCATCTCTAACTTTTGAGTCTGTGGTCTTATTTTGCTCAACAAGAGTATGCAGGGAGCCAGGGTGGAAATGGCTTAGAGTGAAGGTAGACATTTCCCAGCTTTTTTCCCAAACCTGGCAAGCTTCTAGGGTCTGTTAAAGTGTGTGTGTGTGTGTGTGTGTGTGTGCGTGTGTGTGTGTACCTGCACAGTATTTCATGGAAACTAAGAAGAGAAAGAATCAGGCATTCTTAGCTTTGCACTGCTGCAATATCTTGAAAGTCTCTTTAGCTGACACACAGGGAGCCTATGGCACACTGCTTCAGGAAACCCCAGTAGGTGGCTTAGTAAGAGTGACCTTTGTCCAGAGAGGAGACCAACCCTGCCTACATATAGAAGAGTTTGACACCCAGCACTAAAATACACTCCAGGATGACAGTGTCCTGTCATATTACATATTTTTACATCATAACTGGATAATGCTTTCCGCTTGAAAATATAAATATTGACCTATGTACAGGTTAACCTAGTCAGGAATTTATTAAAATTCTTTCTCTTCCAAAGAAATCTGGATACAGAATGACTTCATGAAAATCCAATCTTTTTATTGATGTTTTATTAAAATTACATAGAAATGTACATATGAAGACTAATAAATGTAAATATACAAATTTTCAAGTAATCTGAAATATTTAACTAGTTATTAATTTTTCTCAATAACATATATATTTCAAAATAATTATGAAGCCAGAACACTAATGTTCCCTTTATTCTAAAATAAACGATGCTTCTATAATTCAACCACTTATAAAAACACCCGATCAGCATCTAATTCATTAGGAAATTTCCAGCCTTTGAAAGTATGATCTGTTATCCCTGACTTCTTTCTTTTCCTCTCAGCATTTATCTTCTTGCTGCAAGTGGTGATTGGGTTGATTATGCCCCATATTGGGCCTGGGCCTACTTTAGAACAGTGAACCTGGGAGTGACAATTAGGAGCATAATCACCCAATTCATTTATCCTGAAGTCTTCTTCATGCTGTCAGACGTCCTAGATAATTACCCTAAATCAAAAAGATGAATAAGGCACAAATAGTAATTGAATGATTTACTATTAACAATTTCTTATAGTTGTGCTTTAGTGGTTGAAAGTGTGTTATATGATTTGATACACAAACTTTGTGTGAGGTATGTGGAGAAGAATCCTGTCACACATGAAGATCCACAGGCTCAGAGATGGGAGTCATTTGAGGAAGATGGTGCAATCACCCATGGTACTAGCACCGGAACTCTGCCCTCTGGTTCCCAGCCCAGTGCTTCTCCTTCGCGTAGTGCAGTGACTTTCACTCACATAAACATGGGAACAGCAGCCTCAAATACAGTACTACAGGTGTTTTGCAGCCTGAGGGAAACAAATTCCTACTGCAGTGGAAGAGGAACTCAGGTTGTTTTCAGTGTTATTCCAGATAGTCCTAATATGCTTGATAAATGACAACTGGTATGTGAATAACCATACAATTACCATAATTATAAACAAAAGTATAAATGGTAATAGATGAATGCTACATTATCAAATACGTTAAACATTATGCTAAGTATTAAAATAGTTCAGTAGTAATACACACCTTTCAGAAATACATATTAAAAATAATCTCGATTAAAATATGAGTGCAAAATCAATTTTAGGTTCTGATCTCCAATACATTATACAATTTAGTTAAAAAGCTAAACATATCTCTCATAATTTCTTAGTATAACATTAGAGGTTTCCTTTGGAAAAACCAGTATCTTGTTAGCTTCCTTTCAAACATGATTTGATGATTAGAAAGCCTTCACTGCAGGGGTGATCTTGCGGAAGAATTTATGACCTTGAAAATTTGTATTTTCAAATATATAACCTGGAGGAGTAGGATAGCTAGCTGGGCAGATTTCCTGTTTCTTTGGAGCATACTCTATGGAGTACATGGTGACATCATCAAATGGAACAGAACTCTTCACTGTAGCATTTAAAGGTTTGCAGCTCTCGGTTGGAATCAATTCATGTGGCACATAGTGAGATCTGGAAGTGCTCAAACCATCAAATTTTCCAGATGGGTTGGGGATCTGCTGCTCTTGCTTAATAAGTCCTGGACGACAACTTTCCCATGCAGGAAAATCTTCCTTCATGGTGCTTGTTCCTTGGAAAGGAAAATTATTTTTTCTTCTGTGAGAAACTGGCCTGATGGGAACAACACGGCTGGCCTGATAAGGAAGGTAGTCAAGATGGCTTGTGCTGTATAACTGCATGCTCCCGGTAGGGGGCACAAACTCTGGTACTTTCTTGACTTCAGGTGGTGGGATTTCCCATGGTTGGAAACTGTCACGGAATTCAGTGCTTCCTTCAAAGTGAGCATTGTGGGTCACTGTGGTGTGGGCTGGTCTGCAGATTTTTGCAGTTTCACCAACAAGACCCTGAAAGTCATTCTGGTGAGTGGTGAGACTCTCAAAAGGCAGGTCAGTTGGCTTGTAAGCGTCTTTTGGTCTTGCAAACTTGACTTCTAGTTGATGAGGTATATAGTCATGGCGATGACTTGTATCACCATTAAAGGGGGTTGTGGAAAGTCTGGGCATAGAAGAAGGTTTAAAGCTCTCCCTGGGCATTATCTTCTGAGGAACATAGTCATCCTGAAATGTAGTTGAGTTTCCAAATTTCACAGTTGGGGGATGATAAGTTTGTTCTGGTCTACAAGGTTCACTTTTTTGAATGTTCCAAGACCTATAATGATCTTAAAAATTAAAATAAAGGATTTTTAAATGCTGAGGAAAACAACTATCCTTTAAGAATCACAATTGATTTCTCATTGCTGAACATAGTTCATGTTCATTTGAAAGCCAAATGATGAAATTTGGATCAAGTATTAAGAATGAAGTTTCTGATTCCCTTTAGATCTGTTCTTTTTCTCTTTATTTCCACTTTCCTCTACTCATCTCACTTTAGTACACCGAACATTCTACTTCAAGATTCATTTGATTATACAGAAAGGAATGGCACATCTGAGCCTGGAGTAGATTAGTGAGAGCCAAAAGAATTCTTTATAGGTAAAGACAGTTTAGGAGATTATGGTCATATCCTCAGGAACTTGCTAGGATTCTCACTGTAACTCAAATTGCTAGGGAAGCCATAAAATCCAGGGGTTAAAATCAAGTGCTCTGATGTATGGGCAAAACAATTTGGTTTTGCTCCTTGCTGTAGAGAGACTTCTCCACAAACAGGGAATTACAACTAAATTACACTGCAGGAAGCTCCTGGGACTCCTTCAGCAAAGACAGAGTAACTTGTACTCTCCTAGAAACATCATTGACTTCAACTTTCCTCTTCATCAAATGGACTTTAAAACTTTCTCAGAAGAGAGGGGTGTAAGCCAAGAACCTGAACTGAGTGCTTTCCAAAACACTTAAAGTTGAGGGAGAATGTAGAAGAGGATAGGCAACCTACGATCTGAGATTTAGAAGGTCAATACTTTAAATTTGCTTCCTGCAGATTACCCAGACCATGGATGAAAAACTGCAATGTTTATACCTCAACTGAAGGTCCTTTAGATTATTTCTATATGAAAAAGGTAGTTAGCTGACATAAAATTGACATTGCAAAAATATATGTATTTCTAAATGCCAATCTATAAAAAAGACACATTTTTATACATGATAATTTACTAAAATATGGGCTGGACAATATCTACTGAATAGTTAAACCCTGGATGCTCATTATATGGATATCCACCTAAAAAAGAAAAATTCCTCATTGAGAGATACTGTTGCCAAAAGGGCTAAGTTTTGGACTAATGATTAAGCCACTTGTGTTCGGATAAGAGTGGGTGCTTGAGACCATCTTTGTTTCCAGAGTCCTGTGAAATAAACTGGTTAGAAAAGATGAACTAGATCAAACAGTCCTATTTTGGGACCTAAACTTGAAAATAAGGAGACAGACAGAGAAGAATCCAAAAGGATATTGGGAGTAGAATTGGAGAGCAATTCTAAACAGAAATTATATTCAAGGGGCCGGGGACATAGCTCAATGGCATAAGCATCTGCCTGGCAAGTGCAAGGTCTTGAGTTCAATCCCTGGTATCGCCAAAAAAAAAAAAAGTTATATTCAAAATAGACTTTAAGGAGGCACAAATGATAAATATCCAGAAAAGTCAGCTGGTAGAGTGCTACCACTTGTGATAGAGCACTTGTCTACATGGAAGGGGAAATGCTGTAACTGAAATCCTGCCACTCACTGGCTCCCTGGAGATGGCTGGAGATGAGGATCTCTTCTCTCAAGCACTCTCCATGCCTGACGGTTTTCCTTTTCCACTTCACAGGATGCTTTGTGGCAGAATCTTTTTTTTTTTCCTGAGGTACCATGAAAAAAAAAATCTCTTTTCTTTCTAAACTTATGTATAAAATTTTAACATCATATTGCAATAACTAAAAGGAAATTGGAAATGTTACTGAAGGCTTGTAATTCTACAAATCATACAGGGAGAGGTCTTGCTGCCAAAATGACTAAAAGAAAAAAGATATTCAAAAACAGGAAAAGGAACCAGGTGAGGTGATGCACACCTATAATCCCAGCTACTCAGTAGGCTGAGGCAAAAGGATTGAAAGTTAGAGGCTTAGGGCTGGGTGAGATAGCTCAGTGGACTAAGCGTGTGCTTAGACAAGTGCAGGGGCAGGACTTGATCCCTGGCACCACATACCACACAGGCCCTGCCCCGAGCATGCTGAGCTGTTGACTGAGTCTGGGCGTGGTGGCACATGCTGTAATCCTAGGGAGGCTGAAAACAGGAAGAGAGACCCTATACAAAATACATAAGGAAAGAAGGAAGGAAGGAAGGAAGGAAGGAAGGAAGGAAGGAAGGAAGGAAGGAAGTTAGAGCCTACCCTCAGCAACTTAGCCCTTGTCGAAATGAAAAAAAAAAAAAAAAAGAAGAAAAGAAAAGAAATATTTTTAAAAAATGGAAAGAAGAAGGCAAGCATAGCTCTGGGTGGGGGTGAATGGACTGATTGCAGACATAAGCCCCACCCTAGATGTGGGTGGCTCCACCAAAAGGCTGGTAGCCTGGATGGAATAAAATGGACAGAGGACAGGCTGGCCTACTGGGGCCTGCTGCCTTGAGCCTTCTGTTTGCCTCACCATGAACTGGTTCTCCTTTGTGATGCCTTTGCCATGGAGCACGGATTGTGGAGTGAAATCTCTACAAAATATAAGCTGAAATAAACCTTTCCTCCTTTCACTTGTGAGTGTTGGGTACTCTGGGTATTAGAGTAAAATCCATACACGGTGATTCCTCCCCAAAATATAAAACTAGAGGGGAGAGCAAAAGGGGTGAAAATGATCAAAGTACGTTAACTGCATGCACTAATCTGTCAAAATAAAACTCCTAATTATACATCCAATAAAGAGTACAAAATAATTTGCTTTTATTTTCATAGTTTCAAAAGATAAGAGACGTGAATATTAGGATTTTTTTCTAATATGAACATTTAGTGCTGGACGTTTCTTTTATCACTGCTTTAGATGCATTCTACACAGTATGACATAATATTTTTATATTCATTATATTCAACATATTTTCTAATTTTTTACTTCTGCTTACGACATTTGTTATCTAGAAATCTGTTTAATTTAAAAATATTTGGGAACTTTCAAATTTCCTTCCATTATTTTAATCTAGTTTAATTCTTCTATTGTCAAAAAAAATATACTCTGTGTAATTTCTTTTGCTGAGGCTTTTTTATAGTTCAGAATATGGTCTACCCAGATAAATATTCTATGTGACTTGACAAGAAAATATATTTTGTTATTGTTCAAAGACGTACTTTATAAATGCCACTTACATCAAAGTTTTAGCAGTGTTGTCAAGATTTTCATATCCTTATTAGTTTTCTGTGTTCAATAGACTACTTAGAAATGACTGTCAGTCTTTAGGTGTAGTCGCAGATTTTTTGTATTTCTAGTTTTATTTTTGTAGGTTTTTACCTCACGAATTTTGAAGTATTACTTGTAGGGGATATACATTTAGGTGTGTGTGTGTGCACGTGCGCCTGCATGCGTGCACAGCGAAACTAGCTTTTATCTCCAGTCAGTGTCTCTCTTCGTCCTTGGTAATATTCCTTGTTTGGAAGGTTTCCTTTTTTTGATATTTTATAGCCTTTTTTAAAGAATTCACATATTATATACTTACCTATTTTTCTGTTTTTAACATATCTATATCTTTGTATTTAACATAGGTCTTAGTAGACAACATATAGTTGGTTGTTTTTCTTCATGTACTATGACAATCTCCATGTTGCAACTGGTATGTTTACACCATTTATTTAATGTAACTTTTTTTATTTGTTCAATCTGTTCTATGTTCATTTCCTCTTCTTTTTAAAAATCTACTTTTGGATTAGTTTTTTTGTTGTTTTTACACCCATGCCTCTGTAAGATTTATTAGCTGGTCTCCCTAGAACAGGTGTTGACATGCTGCTCCTGTAACAGATGAGAGGTTTTGCTTCTGAGAGCCATATGGTCCCTGTGGCAGTGACTCAGCTGTATGCGGCTTGAAAGCAGTCACAGATGATGGGTACTGTACATTTACAGATGAGTGGGTGTAGTTGTGTACCCATAACATTTTAGTAATAAAAACTGAGCAGAATTTGGCCCACTGGCCAAATTTTGCTAACCCTTGTCTTAAAGATTATATACACATTTTAATTAATCAGTTTACTTTTCTTATACAACCATGTACCGCTCTAATAACAGGCTGCATCCTGAGAAATGCATCACTCGGCAATTCTGGTGTGGAATGAACATCAAGGTTCACTTACTAAGATGACTAGGACATCATTAGACAACATTATCTTGTAGGACTGCCATTAAGTATGTTGTCTGTTATTGACTTAATCACTGTCAAGCCACATATAACTGTAGTCTAAGCACCTTGGAATAGTGCACTTTCAATTTCTACCTCTATCTTTTGTACTGTTGTTATACTTCTAACTTTTATACACAAGTTACCATGTTGAGTTTCATTGTGATGTTTTCATGTATGCATATAACATCTCTTGATCATATGTACCCTTATCTTTTGTTCCTTCCTTTCCTTTCCCTGTCTTTTCTTCCTTCTTCCCAACTTTTTACCTTTTTTGTATAATTTGTAGTTTGTATTTGAAGGCAGTGTATTGCATGTAGCATAATACTTGTATCCAGAAAGGGACACAGTGTGGTCTGTGCAGTTTGGTTTGCTCTTGCAAGGCTTACCTTCAGTGTACACACAGACTAGATTCCTTTGGCCTTATTTTGTGCTTAGGTTGGAGACATTTGCTAGAAATGTTTTTCAATGTCTACTTCACCCTCAGCTTTAGGCTCTTTCTTTGTATCTGTACCTAGGAAACCGCGTCTCTCCATATCCTAAGGGAGGCCTTATCCTAATGGCAGACTACGATCCAGTTCTTGGTGACATTGTATCAGCGTGTGCACATGAGGGGCAGTTTTTGTTGTCCTTGTCCAGTTTCAGTCTGAGACAGGCACTGCTGCCTCACCTCTCAGATGCAGAGTCCCTCAGTGCTCTGGCTCTTCTTCTGATGGAGTGGATCTGGCGGTTGCTCCCCCCACTTTCACCCAATTTCCTGTTCTCTTCCAAACTGAAATAGACATTTGTTTTCTCACTGGAGGTGACAGAATGATGCCTGTACCACAGTGGGTTCTCACTTCTGTTCTGTGGGTTAGAGGGATTCAGATGGAGTTTTCTAT